CTCTATTTTGGATGTATTTGGTGTAAGTTTTGAGGTGGTTTGAAATTGAAAATTCGAAGTAAAAACTGAACATAGAAAAAAAAAATATATGTATCATTTATGTATCACATATGTATCAATTGTGTATCACATGTATATCCATGTATACCTGTGTGTGAGATACATGCGTGATACATGTGTCGCAGAAGAATTTTTTTGAACTCGATTTAATTACGAATTTTGATACAAAACCAGTCCAAATCACCTCCAATCTACCTCAAATTTTGTATATTGACTTATCTATATGTTTTCAATGAATTTCAATTATACCCATTGAAAAAGTTTTTTTTTGTTTAGATTTGGAATATTGTATTTTTTTTTGTATTTCATCACCTTATTTGCTACCTCATCCATGAAATTTCCTTTCCGTCTTGCATCTAATGTTGCTAATCACGCTTAAAATTATAGAACGTGATTTTTGCATGTGATTCTTTGAGAGAAAGAACCTTATTTATTTGGTTTTTTAATTTTTATATATACTTGACTAGTTTTGGTAAGTCTATGACTAATGGCTAGAGGAAGGTAAGTTGAGACTTATTTGGGACATTTATGTAAGTTTCCCATTTACTCTTGAGTTCTCGATAAGTTTAATTAGTAATCGCGATCCAGTGTAGAGTAGTGTGATAGCATGAATTGTATCAGTATTGACAGGGTAATTTTTTTCTTTGTATGCGGGTAAAATCGGACATAATGCTTACCTGATTTCTTGATGGGAGAGACAGAAGAAGGGCGCAAACATACGAGGTTGAAATCGAGGATGGAAGCCTTTCATGCCGAGGACTATAATTGGTGAACGATATGCTCATCATCGGGTATGATGAAGCGACACTCGCCGAACCCAGAACGAGATCCAAGACCTCGGAAAATATGGCAAACGATCACACACGACTAACAAGAGGGCCGTGATATCCGCATCCAACCGGATATCACGACGCAGATCTCGCCTGATGTCGATTACGGATCAGTAATTAACAAGAAAGAAGGATTTTTAAATTTTAGAATTGTATCAGGGATGAAACTCTCCTACTATATAAAGAGCAAGCTTTTACTTCAAAAAATGACATTGTAACACGCATACCAAGAGAATACAAATCCATTTTTATGCTTTCTAGCTATTGAAGAGTTTTTATTTTTACTATTGTTCTTCACACTCAATTGGTTTCGAACCAAGGACTGAACCGAGGGCAAAAATTATTGTCGAACCTAAGTTCACGCTGGGCCATAACACTACAACTGGTTTGGTTATTCATTTTATCTTTCGTTCATCTAATATCTTGGATTATTTGTGTTGAATGAATCCATATATCTTTAAAACCGTGTACAAATTTAATTGTTATCCGTTTTAAGGGTAAACAGTTTGCGCCCACCGTGAGACTAAAGGTAATAGTGGTGGTTTAATACAAATCTCCATAACATACTCTATTTTTATGCTTGTTCTTTAAAGTATCAATTTCATGTCAGCTTGAAAGTGTCAAATTCTCAGTCTGCTCACTTGAACGTTGAGCCTGAATCTGACCATCATCGCGAAAACAACAATCTGGTGCCTAGCAANGGTCTTGACGTTAAAGTCGTTACATCAGGCTGCCTTAGGTCACTGAGCATAAGCCTCTCTTGCCTAGCTGTTTCTTTCTTCATTCCACGAAGCTTCTCTAATTACCCAATTAAACCGTTAATATTACAAATAACCCTATGCTTTTAATTAATTCTCCACTTTTCAGTTTAAAACAAGGCTCCTACCCCTTTATATATAAACTACTCTTCCAGCTCTTCATATCCATCTACTTATCCCATCTCTCAAAGCTCCATTTTTAGAGTGTTTTATACTGAAAAAATTCTTGATCTTATCAAACTTTAATTTTCTCCTCAATATAGAAATGGCAGCTAAACGGTTTTTTGATGACTCCGATACCGACCCGAACCAACCAAATTACAAACGCATGAGAACTACACCTTCTTTTGCTTCGTATGTTCCCTTATGATCACTACATTTAATTCTTTCTAATATTTCTCAAGATTGAAATCTAACTTATCCTTTCTTTGGTTATTTTGTAGTGTCATTAAAGAAGTGGTGATGGTGAAATTCTTAGACAACGTTTCTTCCGCCTTGGAACCTATGCTCCGTCGAGTGGTACGAGTTAATTTCACGAACTTTTTTATTTCAAAATAAAAAAAATTCATCGCTAATTATAAGTGATTTAACAGATAAATTAGCGACGAAGTTCGTAACTAACTCCAATTTAATTTGCAGGTTCATGAAGAGGTGGAAAGTGGACTAAGACGTTACTCATGTCGTACCATAACGAGATCTCCTTCACTAAGAATCAAAGCTTTAGAACCATCAAATCTTCGCCTCACTTTCAACAAAAAACTGTCTGTACCAATTTTCACCGGCAGCAAAATTGTCGCCGGCGACGGTCATAATCTCCAAATTCTTCTGGTGGATACAAGCGGCGAAGGCTTGGTTCCGACGGCTCTACCTTATCCTATCAAAGTAGAAATCGTCGTACTCGACGGAGATTTCCTTTCAAAACAAAATGATCAAACCAGCTGGACACATGAAGAATTTAACAAAAGCATCGTTAAGGAGAGAACCGGAAAGAGGCCATTGCTTGCAGGTGAACTCAATTTCACCATGCGTGACGGCGTCGTTTCTGTCGGAGAAATTGAATTTACTGATAATTCGAGCTGGATTAGGAGTGGAAAATTTAGGCTTGGTGCAAAATTGGTTCAAATTGGAACAAGTCAAACTACTGTTCAGATTACTGAAGCCATTACTGAATCTTTTAGGGTTAAAGATCACCGCGGAGAATGTAAGCTATTTCTCTTTTCATTATAGGAGTATTTTCTTTAGCAGTCAAAGCTAACCCGTTTGGCCATAATTTTTTTTTTAACTTTTTGATTTTTTTTTTTTTACTTTTTTTTTTGGAATTGGTGTTTGAGCATGAAAATTTCAAATTTCATTTAAAGTTGAATTTAGAAATTTTTTGAAAATTTAGAAAACTCCAAAAAGTTATTTTTCAAAACTTTTACTTGATCACTCACAAAAATCCAAAAACAGATCCAAATTGTATTCATGTCCAAACACAACTCTAATTTTTAAATATTATTTTCACTTGATTTTCTCCCCCACTTTTTTCCCAAAAATTTCACAATTCTTATTTCCAAATGCCCACTAATTCGACATGCATCGATGACTCATTATTCCGAGTGCTGCAATATATAGTGCAATCGGAAAATTTGAAAGGACTTGGTTTATATTCTAATCCGTTATAGCATGTAATCTATCTTATTTTTCAGGTTATTAGTTTTTTATTTTATGTAGTTATCATTTAGGTGACCTAATACTATCGCTGTCACTATATACCAGTTAAACTCATAAATTTGATCATGTAATATATTGCAGTGTACAAGAAACATTACCCACCAGCACTAGGAGATGAAGTGTGGCGGCTTGAGAAGATTGGAAAAGATGGAACTTTTCACAAGAAGCTGTCTTCAAATGGAATCAACACTGTACAAGATTTCTTGAAATTGGCCACCATTGACACACCAAAGCTTAGAACTGTATGCCTGATCTACTCGAGTCCTTAAATGAGACAAACAAATTTAAATTAAATATGAAAAAGAATCTTTTTATAAAGAACCTGTTACTTAACTGTTTATGATTTCACAGATACTAGGAAGTGGAATGTCTGACAAAATTTGGGATGCGACATATAAACATGCAAATACTTGTGAGAAGGGATCTAAGTTATACATGGCCACTGGAGCAAATTACACTCTCTTTCTTAGTCCAATATGTCAAGTTGTTAGGGCAATCGTTGACGGGCAGATTTGCGAAAATCGTGACTTAACTGGAATTCAAAGGGTAAAATATTAAGTTATCGAATTTTCACTTTGGGATACTGTATATTTTAACTTAAAACAGTTATAATAATATCTATACCATGGTATTTTTAGGCCTATATTCAGAATTTGGTGAAGGATGCTTATGCCAATTGGAGTTCCTTAGAAGAAGTTGATGCTCGGGTGAATGAGCCAGCACTGCTAACTCAAGGTACTTTATATATTCATTTTTTCTACTATTTCTAATTCGTACCTTAATATCATATTATAATATGCCCACCATGCACAAGAAATTGCTTTTAGTTTAGTTTACTTGCTAAAGATCATATATATATAAAGAGTTCCTTTTTGAAAAGCTCAAGTTTTTGGAATTAATAATAACAGTCAATGCTCTTTGTTCTATATTTTAGTACAGTTTGTTGGTTTCTATAATATAGTAAATGATTTCTGATATGAACAGGAGAAACAGTGGTGGATCAATATCCGAATGTTCTTTATCAGCAGCCGTCAATGCCGCGATCCTATCAACTGAACGCAATTTTGACAGAAGCATCGGAACAATTAGTTGAATACAACAATGATTTGATTGTTAGTTCTAGCTACATTTACCCCCCCTGCTGATAATGGAGAACCGAATTAAACTGTTTTTATTTTATAATATCAGTACAGAAGTTAAATTCTTCTCAGAGGAAACGCTGAAGGAATGATATTTATGCATATTCACGTTCATGTACATAGTGTGTAGGAACAACAAAATGTTGTAGAGGTCGCGCCAACCCCTTTGTAAAAGATGTGTGGTTTGGCAATAGTAGAAGTCTGTTTTTTTCCTTTCTTTTTTTGTTTTAACTTCAAATCTGGAAGTTTTATTGTAGCGGTTGTTGATCAATTTACGTAAATGAACAAATGCAATTATTTATTTGATTATGTATCTATCTATATCTTCTTTATTTTACACCCTTATACAACTTATGACTTTGACCCCCCCAAAAAAATTGAGAGAAGTTGCTAGTGAAGTACTTAATTATGCGTTGACTTCCTAACACCCTTTCTTCAAGTCACGTGTTGAAAAGGCGACTTACGTGGAATCTAGAGGGTAACTTGCACCCGTTAAGCTTGGGAAAAAATCCTGTAAATTAAATATAGGTGTATGTAGGTTATATACTTTGATCTGTATTTGTTGAATTTATGTATACACCTAATGTGAAGATATGAGTAACTCTTTATTTATTTATATTGGGCTGGGGGTTGACTTGAAGAGGGTCTTGAAATCAAAGTCTATTTTTTTCGTTTTTTTTTTTTCCGTAGGAAAAACTACTACTCCCCTCCGTTCCAATTTATGTGAACCTATTTGACTAGAAAGAGATTTTAAGAAAAAAGGAAGACTTTTGAAATTTGTGGTCCTAAACAAGTCAAAAAGGGGCCAAGAGTATTTGTGTGGTTATTAAAGCTTCTCATTAAGGGCGAAATTGTAAATTTAAGCTAAATTATTACCAAATTTAGAAAGGGGTCATTCTTTTTGGAACAGATCAAAAAGGAAATAGGTTCACATAAACTGGAACATAGGGAGTAGCTATGTCCATTTATAAGTCATTACAAAAATTGGCCAATTCATAAAATATTACTAATATATCCCAAATATTACTAATATTAGCCAATTAGCTTTTTGTATCAAAAATTAGTCAAAATTTTGCTTTCTTTTGAGTTGGTGTTATTAGAATAGATTGAGTACATCTTAAAGAGCTTGAATCTCTATTTTGGGATGATTTGGTGAAGTTTTGAGGTGGTTTGAATTGAAAATTCGAAGTAAAAACTGAACATGAAAAAAAAACTAATATGTATCATTTATGTATCACATATGTATCAATTGTGTATCACATGTATATCCATGTATACCTGTGTGTGAGATACATGCGTGATACATGTGTCGCAGAAGAATTTTTTGAACTCGATTTAATTACGAATTTTGATACAAAACCAGTCCAAATCACCTCCAATCTACCTCAAATTTTGTATATTGACTTATCTATATGTTTTCAATGAATTTCAATTATACCCATTGAAAAAGTTTTTTTTTGTTAGTATTGGA